ATACGAATATATATATTATATTCTACAGCGTGTTATCTCCGCGTCCCGTTGATTGCCTCAAAGCCTTTGCCTTTTTTATGAATAAATTATCAAAACCATTATTATAACCGTGGTTATAATATCGTGATAAGAAAACTAGAATGGGGGGGGCGCTTTTTTTCTTTTTACTAAGCAATAACTATATGTAGGCGATACCTACCTATATAATATTTATTATCCCGTTCGTATGTCAACCGATGTTGTATTTAGCCAACAGTGTTACAATAACAATAATTATTCACGATCGAAGCTCGACGCGTTCACTCGACGAAAATACCAAATTTGACTTGGTGGGGGAGGGGAGAGGGTCGGTTGCTATATACACAGGCACGCAGCGCACACACTGCAGAGTACACGTATCCATGCCGCGCAGCGGTCTGTCATCCGATGAAACTATTTAACAATTATTTACTGTCGAACAATTTGTACGAATTCGAAGTATGTGACGTACAGTAAGTTGTTCGGAAACTTAGGTGAATATTTCAACTTTCGGGCGAATATCCTGCACGTGTCGGCCTAACTCGCGATACCTCTCCTTGCTGCAGCCGTGCACCTGTAACAACAGCAGCGGAGTGTCTTCGATCGAATACCTATACCTAGGTACTTCGAAACACCAACGAATTGTTTTCGATTGTCACCGAATCGGCTCCCTATTTGTCAGCGTGTATAGACACACAGAAGATAGAAAATATGTTCTAGAGTATTTTATAGCTATACAATATCTAATATAGTTGTTGTAAATCAGTGATTAAAATTCAATATTCCAAAATTTTTAACTTGGCAATTATAATTTATAAGTTGCAGCGAAATAAATACTTAGTAGGCACTCATTAATAGAATTAACCTAACTTGTTGATCACACTATATAAGTACATTTACTGTTTTATACTATACTTTATACTTTTACACCAACCACAGTAGTCTCCGCTTATTGGACCTGCGGTTAATGGACTTAACTTCGCCTAATGTACTCAAACAAGCTGGTACCGATTTACATGTATACTTGCACATAGGAAAAAATGCATATTACATACATATAATAATGCATATGGACTCACACACTGATTAATGTGTATACTTTTTAGACCATATTTCCTCAATTTTTAGTCCATTTTCATGATTTTAACGCTTATATTTCGACGATTAGCATTTAGCACTATATAGTATATCTTCAATTGTAGAATAAAATGATTAAAGATTTTATAATAGTTTTTTACATCATTCGAAGTCATAAAATATTTTATATTTTTATCGTTACCTACCTCAACCATTAATGATGATTTTGTTCTGTATGAAGGACACCATACATTTTAAATACATAAGTAGATACATAATTATGAATATATCCTATAATCAGTACACAACCAAATTTAAATTTTATGCGATAACATTTTACAATTCAGATAAAAGCCCAATGATCAAAATTATAACTATAGAAGAATAAAATATGCATTTGAATAATATTTGTTCTTTTTCAAAAGTATTTTTTTACAACTGTTTAAAATTAAATGAAAATTCATCCAACAGGAAAATGTTGTCTTATTTTAAATAAAAATAAAACCAACAAAATCCAACTATTCTACATGACGCGAAAGTTTTTCCTGTGAAGTCATTTTCGTTGATTTAATGCACCATATCAACCCCCTCCCCTTAAATAGGCATCGAGCTGTAGATTAGTGGAAAAATATTATAATTAAGGTAGTGAACAAGTATAAAATATAATAGAATTTTGGAAATTGGGAAAACCAGCACCGTCAACCTTAATGGACTCATATTCTATGGTCACAAAGTGAATCAAATAATCTAGTAATGTATAAAGATGTATACGTCTTACTAGTTAGGTTTATGTTCTAGACATTTTTAATTTTAAATAATTATACATTTTAATAAACGTGAAAATAAGACTTATGGCATTCCTGTAGTGTACAAAAGGAAAACATTTTTTTGTTAGGATTATTTAGCTCTATTTTACTTCAATTCAATGTCATGGTATCTTACAAAAAAATATATTCAATGGTCTAAATAAAAAGTATTTTAGTGATTACCCTTAGGTAATTGGTATATTATATTATACAACATATTATTTTACCGACTCTAATTATTATAAATTGATTGTTAAGTGAACTTAAATTTAGTAATTTAATTTGAAATAAAGTCATAATATAATAAATAAAAACACTATTGTAAATTAGCTGTTAAATGAACTTTAACTTAATTAAATTTTTATAAAAATGATAAACAGATTAAGATTTATAAATGTAAATTCTAATGAAAATAATAGCAACTCATTAATATTACTCGATCAAAATCATAAAATCATAGCTTCAAGAGTTAAACATATTATTATGTTATTGAGCTTGTAAAATAATATTTAAATTAACGTAATGTACTATTTAGATAAAATAAATGAAAATCGTATAGAGTATAGCTATATACTACTTGACGAACGATGTCCAATGCATTTTATACACAGAATTATATTATAGTACTGAAAATAACTCATACTAGTACGGTTCAGTGGATCAACAGAAAGGGACTCATTAACATGCTTTATTACAACTCTTGGTACCGAAGGCGAGTAGTCGTCACTGACATCACATTAATCAAGTTCTTCGATTGTTTGTTTGTTTGTTTATTATTATTTTTTTTTTAATCAGAAATTATAATTTAAATATTGTATCCAACGCTGATAGTTTTGCGATTTTAATCATAAATGCGTAAAAACAAAGAAAAAACCGAAGCCTAACTCGCAAAGGGTTCCATCCATCACCCCTCCTCACCAGCAACCTACAAAATATACAACATTAATTATTATACTGTTCAAAAATACCTACCTTAGACTCTACGAAACCAATGCATAATATTATGTTGAACAGTAATTAAAGTCTCTACGTTAGGTACGTTACCTATTCGGCGGGCGTGCATGATCATAATATTGTTACACCGAACGGGCCACGACGAGAACCGTCTAGACGCGCAGTGAAGTCGCATCGCATCCCGTTCGCCACGATAGGTACACAAAATAATAATCACATTATTGCCATCACACTTGGGTGTCATGGTTCATTACTACACATAACTAGTTAGTAGGTACACCATATTATATTGAGTACGGCGGCTGCAGGAGACAGTGCCCGACGATATTATTATTAATATTTATTATTCCCATAATAATTATAATATCGTGTTTTATAATAATATGGCTGACGCCATGCTGAGCGCGCGTGTCATAATAACATTTTGTTACATGATATATATATATATTATAATCATGTACTAAGCGTGAAACACAAGAGGATTGATAACTATCAAAACGATGTAGAAATAATTATATACGAACGACTCGATTACAGAAATTTCGCACCACGCGTATACACCGTGGGCCTGTAGGCTGTAGGCGCACTATTGTTTTCCACTCGTTATACCCAGATCTTAACCACGGTTGTGTGGAGTGGCGGCTTTGTCAAGAGAGTTACAAAAAATCAACACATTTAACACTAGAATCGACCTAGTGACTATATACACAATTTGTAGATGTAATTTTATTTTCTACTGTGGTTTATACCTATCACTTAGCTCGTAACAAAATCGTAACACTTTGAACGCATTATTAATGGTAATCTATGATTGTAGATAAAAATAAATACAGATAACCCTTATGGAGACTTCTATAATTCTCGAGTATTGGAAGTATAAAACATTTTTGTTTCAATAATTGTTCTTAAAATTATTTCATGCCATCATGTACAACTTAAAGAAGAAATCGATGAGACTATAATGTGGTACCTATATCTATAGCATCGTTATTATTGAAATCACAATAAAATAAACTAAATCATTTTGCTAAAATCCGTTGAGTTATAAATTTAACAGTTTTCCTTCGGTTTCTTTGTCAAGGACTCTTCATAGTACGTACAGACTAGATGATATTTTCAGTCGATTAACCAGGTGAACATTTTGAAGGAATCTCTTTAAAAAATTTCAACAGACCACAAATAGACAAAAAATAAACAAAATATTATATTCTATATAACTATACGTGTTGGATATCACGTATTAGATTTATAATGATAGTGTATCTCGGAATCGAATAAGTATAATATTATATAACCTTACATGATATATTTTATTTCTTAACTCCACGATGGTACACCTCTCTATGTAGTAATATAATATTATAGTAATACTACCAATATATGCTTATATTTTATAGCGTTTCCCGAAAGATCATAGTTACCGGGACAACGAAACACTGTCAAGGGTTACGGTATCATCGGTATCATCGGTCATCAGTATACACGAGAACAATAATTAATTAATTTAATATTGGTTTGCTATGAAACATGTTTTGTACCATTTTGAACAGAAATGTATGCAGCACCAAACGTGCCAAAAGTATATTTATACTTAGATACAGCCGTGTGAAATATGGTTGTAAATTTACCAAAAAGTAATATGTACCTTCTAGTGTTGTTTGTTTTCAATAATTCGTAAAAGTTTTTGACTTACCCTCCAATTTCTTATGCCAAAACTTGGGGATAAACTGAAATCTCGCCCACGCCGTAATACATCATCTGTGTTTCTGGAAAAAAATAAAATAAATATTATAAATCACAGTTATATTTATAAAATGATTGCAATATAATCTATGATAATTGTTAAATTAATTTATTTCGCAGTCGTTATTTTAAAGTATGAAATACAATTTTATATTCAAATGTTTCAGAGCAATGCAACCTCGTACAGTTTACACAGATGTAAAACATAATGTGTACATAGTTAGATATATAATGTATATTATACCAATACCTTGTACAAATCTCTAAATAGATGGGTGTGGAAAAAAATATTTATCAGATCAGTACGTGTATCATGCATATCGAGTACGTTTGTCCTTGTTACTATAAAGAAACTATTTTACTTAACAAATTTTAATTTATGCAACTATTGTGTTGAACAAAATGGCAATGATTTTCAAAATATTATTTATTTTATTCAGTATAGTAAGTATATAGCCATAAATCTTAGTTATTTATTTTTTATTTTAATGATTTTATTTGTTGTACTTAGATATTTCTAAAATCATACGCGATCAAATATCCGAACGACTTTACTCCCACCCTGTTGTCAGGAGAGTGCAAAATAAAATTTGATTTTATCGTTGTCGGCGCTGGTAGTGCCGGTGCGATAATTGCTGCTCGTTTAAGTGAGATAGCAGATTGGAATATTTTACTATTGGAAGCAGGTGGTGATCCTCCAGAATCATCAGAAATTCCACTCAAATGGAGTTTGGCATTGAACACAGAGTATGATTGGAAATTTTTAACTGAACAGGAAGATAATTTGTTCAAAGGTTTAGACGGGGAAAAGTGTCACGTGCCCAGGGGATGTATGTTGGGCGGAAGTTCGTCCATGAACGTTATGTTGCAAATTCGTGGAACAAAGTACGATTTTGACGAATGGGAAAAATCTGGGTGCGCTGGTTGGGGTTTCGATTCCGTTTTGCCATATTTCATAAAATCTGAAAATTTTACTGACATGACTCGGTACGATCCGAAGATTCATGGGAACTGTGGGCCCCTAACTGTGAGTCCTTTTGTATCTCCAGATCCTGCCATACAAACTATATCACAAGCAGCAGATTTGATGGGCTTGACCAACGTGAAAGACTTGAACAAAATAGAACGTTCGATTGGATACGCGATGTCGGACAGCACGACTCGGGATGGACTACGGTGCAGTACGCTGAAAGCTTTTTTAATGCCCAATAGTGGACGACCAAATTTGTTCGTAGCCAAATACATCCGAGTCACCAGAATTTTGATTGAGAACAAAAGTGCGGTTGGCGTTGAGTTTGTATCAACATCAGGTGAGTTCAAGACCGTCAACTGTACGCTTGAAGTCATATTGTCTGCCGGTGTGGTGATGAGTCCCCAATTACTTATGATATCCGGAATTGGACCAGCAGATCACTTAAAAGAGATGGGTGTGGACGTTGTAGCTGATCTTCCTGTTGGAAAGAACTATCAGGACCACGTAGCCTATTTTGGGCTAGTCCTTAGTGACGGCAAAAATAGACCAATCGAAGACATTGCGGCAGAAAGTCAAAAACTTAGAAAGGAAACGTTTGATTTGATCCCTAAAGGCATTAGCACAATGGGGCTAACGGGACTTCTTAGTTTCGTCGATTCCAAACGAGCGTCCGGAAACCCTGACATCGAAATTATGAAAATTAGATACTCGTGCAACACAACCCAACAGATGAACACGTTCAAGAACATGTTTGGATTTTCTGACGAGATGGCGAAAGTGTACAACGAGTTGAATACGCACAGTGACATATTACTGATGATACCGATTAGTAACATCATAACCAAAACCGGGCATGTTTTACTGAGATCAAAGGATCCTCTGGCGAGCCCCAAAATAATCGCAAACTATTTGTCGGACCAGGAAGAAATCGATACGATGGTGAGGGGTATCGAGTTCGTGGTTGAAATGTGCAAGACGAAACCAATGACTGACGCGGGATACGCTTTTGAGGAGATTCCATTTCCGAATTGCGAGACGAATTGCAAGTGGGGCACCAAAGACTACTGGAAATGTGGTATTAAAAATCTGGCCACCTCAATTTTCCATTCAGTTGGTACCAACAAGATGGGTGCGATTGATGACAAGACCTCTGTGGTTGACCCCTGCCTAAAAGTGATTGGCATTGAAAAACTTAGAGTGATTGACTGTTCTGCGATGCCATTATTAGTGACTTGCAACACTAACGCCGCCACAATGATGATGGCTGAAAAGGGAGCTGATATAATCAAAACTCAGTATGGAAAATGAGGTTATAACTTATATTATTGTCACCGTATATTATGAGTGTTCTAGGTATATATTTTATCTTTATCATTTTAAAAATGAATATAAAATAAAAAAGTATTCATATTATTCTATTCTGTAAAAAGAGATAAGTGAAAGAAAAAAACAGATAAAAATAATGTTCTATTGTTATGTTAAAACATCAGTATAAACTATATTAAGATGATAGAAACACTAAATTAAATAATCCAAAATCAAACGATCGTTTAACACATTTCAAACGAATAATTTGATATATGTTATCATATAATATTATAATTTATTATAAACCAATTCGTTCATATAAAAACATTAAGCAATTATGTATATTATGTCATATTTTGTGTACACGATTATGTGAAACCTTCAATTTATTGCCATTTTTGTTTTTAAAAGAAAACATTGCAAGCATTTTCATATGTTTAAATAGGTTTAATGAATTCATACTATTGTCTATACGTTTATTCATTATTTCGCAATTTGTTTGCATAACAATGAAAACACAATTTCAATAATTTTCATGTGATGACGTTACATTTTAATAAACAACAACATATGGGTGTCGTTTATGTCGGTCTATCGCAAAACGTGCAGGTAGGTGTTAGGTACGCTATATTTTTATTTTATATACGACAAACTTAATGACTAATGATAAGGGACGAAATGCTCGATGAGGATTGAGCAGTCTCCTCCGAGACTAGACGTAGAAATTATCTGAACCTAGTAATTATTATTACAAACACAAATCGTTATTGAACGTATTGTTTGATAATTTTAAAGTCCACCGAGCTTGCACCCTTTGATCGCCGTTCGTAACATCACTTGATTATGTGAGCCACGACCGATTCCCAATTGAATAATGATTGTGTGTCGCACCAATATGTGAAATGGCACTAGTGGTGCTTTGTAGAGTTGTTTGAAATAATGTGTCAACTCCACACGGAAACAATGTAGGATTATTAAACTAAAATCGGATTACGGAACGTGTATTGTACCATTTCTACAAAAAAGATACGCCCTGGACGTCGAGTTGCGAATCCAACTCAATAATCAAGAAAATAACAACGCATATTTTGCATAAATTCCTAAAATAATTTCTCAAAATGTTAGACTCGCGCCAGATTGTTTATGCCAAGACACTTGGTTAAAGAATTGATTCTCATAAGTGAAAAAATACGTCATCTACTCACCTGGGAAAAAACTAAAATTCAGAAATCTTTAAAATGTACTAGAACTATTGCGAAAAAATATCCAAATGTTTTTATAAATTTGAATTTTGCATAATATTTTTATACTATAGAAAAGTACTGTAACTACACGTTTCGAAACACACAAATTTATAATAATAAAATTAACGATGATCATTACAGCCATAACTTATTTGATGTGTAATAATGTTTGACATATTTTATGCATTAATTAACTTAGTTAAACGTGGAGTGGAAATTGTATATTTTGAAAAAGAAATATCAATTGAACCGTCAATAATATTAATTCGCTGCTGTTTGTCTAAAAATTATTAATTTTTTACACTCCCCGTAACTATATTTCACGTAATAGAAATTCAATGAATATTTTTTTATTTGAAGAGCGAAGGGACGGTGCATCTAGTTGGCATTGTTATCAATTATAACTTATAATATTAATATTTTACCTGATTATACATTATTGTTTTATTTGGATTTTATTATTAATTATTGGATTAACATTAATTCTACTTGATTTTAATTACATAGTATCGTTGTCTATAATATAATTTATATTTTAGATCAATTTTAAGAGCGTTGTTAATATCATAATAAGATGGTATGTATTTTTTAGGATTTCCATTAACAACAACTTGTACCCGAAAAATCAATCAAACGTATACATTTTCATAACGACAGCAATGCGTAGTATCGCACAAATTTACAATGTCCATAATGAAACATGCTAATATGTATGTTGTTACGACAGGTTAGGTTAGATTAAAAAACACTTTTGGAACAATAAACGAAGTAGTTGATGTACACAGGTGTATAAGCCATACCGTAATTAGCTTACAGTTATGATACAACAACTTCGCTGACGATCAGTATTTTTAGATATTTATTAAAATATTTTTTTATTTTAAGATCAAATCGTTTGCAATAGTATATACATATTGGTAATTTACAATATTCATATACTTTTTTTCCGTTTTGAACCGACAGTAGAGGAGGGTCTGTTTGCACAATACTACTTCTCTGCTCCCATCGTTTATTGATGAAACAATATTCATTTACTTTGAACATTAAGTGTTGTCATATATATTAGCGGTGGAATCGAGTATAGTGTTAATATTATTTTTAATAAAACTTATAACGTTTTAGAAAAATGTTTTGCGATCGTATATAACTTATAGTATAAGTGGTAACCAAACAGAGATTAGTTTTAAAACGTGCCCCAAGTAAAAATAATAATATTTTAGTACTTCGTTAAATGTTACTCAAATTTCGTAGATGCAAATCAAAGTCTAAAATCATTATTCAATTTTTTTACAACTTCATAAGTTCTTAATTTGTTCTATTTTGAATGTTTAATTTTCTTCGTTAGTTAAATTTAAGTGAAACAATGACTAGAAATATATATTTTTTTTGTTGTTTATTTTAAACGCGACAAACAGAATAATGTGGGCGTATCGTGGAAAAATTATTTTCATTGACATAGAATTGTGTAAATTGATGCACAACCGTATAATTGTAATTTACATAAAAATATCCATAAACGTTATTCACCAATCAAAAGTTTATTTACTTTTCAGTACAAAATTCAATCATGTTTTACTGCTTGAAATTTAAATGAACACAGCAATACAACATTAGCAGTTTAATAATATATTATTGTTTAACGGTGCAGAAAAATATATTTTGTGAATAGAATTTTAATAATATAATATAATTATTATTTACTATAATATACCTATAGCACATAGTATTAGTTAATAATTTCGAAATCTGTATTGACAGATTCAACATAAAATATTCAAAATATATTATTAAAATATAAACATTAAACAATGTTGCAAACAGTTTGATTATTATTATTTTTTTACAGTGGAATAAAAAGTCAAAACTAAATAATAATTATTGTCTTGATATTACAAACAAATTTTATTTAAACTTTTATTCCACTCCTTTTATTTACCAATCTAGTCTATTTGGAAATTCGTATGTCTGTTCGATATCTTAGAAGTTTTTCGACACATTCAAACGTGAAAGAAAATGTTTCCAATCTAAAAAAATTACTGAACCTTGGATATTTGTTTGGCAATCTTTTTGAAAACTACTTGGAAATTCTAACACACCACTCGACTATATCTATGTCCACTTTAAAATCGATAGACGTAGAGTTGTACAAAACTTTCAGAACACAAAAAAAGTGTTTTTCTTGAAAATAACACATTATTTTAAAACCAATAGCTTTTTACTCTTTTTAAAAATAAATATTTTATCAAAAAGATATACTTTTAACTGAACGAAGTGAACTCGATTTTAAACTTTTTAGTTTCAAGTTGAGATATCCGGAAGTCAGTGTAAATACTGAGAATTAATGAGAGAATCGTGAGTGGTAACAAGTGCTATGTTACAGTTTAATGGAACTATTAAAATTGAAATAAATTATTATCATCTCAAATGTCAAACATATTTCTTATACCACAGCTGTTTTCGAATGATAGTGACAAATAAGGTACCGAAACCTGCAGGGCATTAACTAAAGGATACTAAAGACCGTTTATCACTTTTGAACCAAAAATAGGCACTACACGTTGAATACAGAAGCAGATTTGGACTCCATTTTTTTTTTTTAGTACCCCCTTAAATTACTCAACATTTATAATTACTGATATTCTTGAAAATAAGTAAAATTTTAAAGACAGCTGTGAACGGTCTCGTTCCACAAACCCAATTTATAATCACATCCATTACATAATATGTCCTATGTGTTTACGAATTTCTCATTTTATTATGCTTAAGTGTATCATAATTATTATGTAATCAACAACTTAATAATTACATAATGAGTTCAATAAGACACTGGATTTACAAATTACCAAATAAATCTAATAAAAGTATAAATTTGATATTTTCCTCAACGCCAATGCGTATTATTCGTAGGTCATTTAAAGAGGGTTGTATCTATTATTATTTGTAGAGAAAATATTTTGCTGTAAAACGTGTTGGTGACGAAAACAAATTGAACAAGACAAGTCTAATAGTAGTAACCAGAGCATCAATCGATGTTTGGCGTAGTGTCTATGGATTTGGTGAAATGCCAGATCGCTTCAGAACTAGTTATAAACAAGATACACATACAATATAATTGGACCATCTTCAGTATAAAATATTTAGGATATGATACAATAATAACAATTATATTGTAGGTTAATGCATAACACACTTATTTTTACAGTTCTTTGTTTAATATTATATTTTATGGGTCAACTTGTTCTGTTTTGAGAGCTGAAAGTGTTAGAAAATTAACACCAATTGAGTGCCGCTGGTACGTCTCTACAATCGCAATTCTTTATCTCGAGACTTTATTCTCATTATATCATACTTAAATATTGTTTTATTCGCGTATAAAAATCGTCATATTATCACTATTTAAGTCCGTTACCAACTGTAGTTGGATTTAAAATAAGTTGACGAAAAGTAAAAACCAATTTACACCCTATGTTGCAGCTATAAATTCCTTTACCTACGCTTTCAAATAAGAGTATATAATTAAAACGTATAAAATAAAAAAAAAATTGTTTTCTAAGAAGCATTTGCAGTTTGCCTAAATTAAAACAAATGTTTTTTTTTTTGTTAAATTTCATTCATACCAATTAACAACTGGTTATATTATTATACGTTTAATTTGAGTGTATTAATCTTGTTTTTTTTTATAATATTATTTTAACGATTCCGTACAAACATTATTATTATTATTATTATTATTATTATTATTATTTATAAATATAA